CATAGAACTGCTTTAAAAAATTCTAAAAGCACATAATAAGATTGCTTTTTAGAATCACTCTGGTGTCTAAATCACTTCTAGTAAATCACACTGAAAATCACGGTGAAAGACGTTAGATTTATTATGCCTGATCAATAGTCAGGTGTTCGAAAACATTTGGTTCCTAGATTGGAGTTAACCTTTTTGCCAACCACCTCACATCCGAAGTGTCACGGTGATACTAAGGTAGGTGCACACACTGAGGTATGAACTTCACATTTTTCCAGCTGAAAATCAATCTCATTAGGCAAATATTTTTGAAGATGATACTTGAATGCGAAAATTGTCACTTATTAGCTAATATTTTTTGCATTCTTAACAATCTAATTTTAAAAGTTCAAGAAAAAAACAAAGATAGTTATTATCTTAAAAGCATTATTGTTATGGCACCCAAGCCATTTACTCTAGCTACTCTACATTTTCAACATTGTTGTAAATTAATGAAAATATTATTAACAAAGGCATTTCCAAGAAGAATGAAATATCTGTGTATCTCTCGTCTGTTTCAAACTTTTAATCATTACTTTTTTTTAAACATGAAGCAGTAAAGAACAATAATTAGATAAAAAGCAGCATTTGATTTACAAAATCCTGAAATGATACTTAATTTTAATTTTGGTTTTAACATATAATTCTTTGATCCTCTTCCCATCAAAAGGTGGAGCTTAATTCTCTCCTCTTAAGTGTAGACTGGTCTTAGGAATAGAGTTTTATCTCTGAGTCTAGGAGACAAAACACATTGTGATTTCCATCTTGGACTCTCTCTCAGATCACTTGCTCTGGCGGAAGCCAGCTGCTATATCATACACCTCCTGGGACCAGCCATTGAGGAACTGAGGCCTCTCTCAACAGCCACGAGTGAGCCATATCAGATGCTGATGCTGCAGCCCCAGCCCCAGCCAAGCCTTCAGATGATGCAGCCCTGGCCGACGTCTCGGCTATAATTTCTTGAGAGGCGCTGAACCACAAACACTCAGGTAAACTTCCCTGATTACTGACCCTTGGAAACTGGAAGAAAAATGTTTATTGCCTTTAGTTGCTAAGTTTGGGGGAATTTGTTAGGCAAAAGCAGATAACTAATACTGTGTCCAAAGACGATAAGAAATTATTGCATGTTAATTTTGATTTGCTCTAAATTAGCTATGAGACATTAAATGTATCATTACTTGATTTTCAAATTTAAGAATAATTTCAAGGCTAAGTCAACAGATTGTATTTTATTACCAATCACAACAAGCTATTTACTTGAACTTCTATTTCCAATTGTAACCAAAAAAAACACAAAAGGAAACACCAGGCCATGCTGAGCGGATTCCAAGATGGCCCCCATGATATGAATTGATCTTCTGGTTATTCATCTTCCCCTAGTTATTCAATCAAACACCAATGGACCTGCTGCTGTGAAGAGATTTTGCAGATGTAAGAAAGGTCCAAATCAGTTGACCTTAAAACAGAAAGATTATCGAATAGGTGAGCCCTTAAAAGGACTGGGCTCTTCCTGAGCAAAGAGATTCAAAGGGTGATAGGGGTTCAATGTGAGGGAGGGTCTACACTATGGGCTTGAAGATGGAGGGGGCAACACGGCAAGGAATGCTGGTGGCCAACAGGAGTTGGGAGGACCTCCTCCCTGACATCTAGTAAGGAAATGAGGATGTCAGGACTACACCTGCAAGAAACAGAATTCTGCAAATACCTCTGTAGGAGCTTGGAGGAGAATCCTGAGTTCCAGATGAGAGCACAAGTTTGCGAAACCCTGTTCAGAGAATCCATCCACACCACGCCTGGACAGCTGACATACAGAACTGTGAACAAAAAAAATGGCTGCTGTTTTATGCCACTAAGTTTGTGGCAATTTGTGACGCAGCAGTAGAAAACTAACACGCAGGCTCAGGTCCGCCATGGATAAGCACATGGCATTTTCTTCACTGAAGTTATCAACTGTCATGCACACTAGCTGCATAAAATCAAATCTTTCCTAATTTGTTTTTGTATTTTCCATTTTGTGATTTTTATGTGATGCAAGTAAAATTTTCTACAATCATATTTGTCATTCATCCGTTCATCCAAAAATTACTTTAATGCCTACTATGTACAGGCATGCTCTACATACTCTGAACAAAACAGCCCAAACCTGCTGTGCTCATGGACCTTGCATTCTAGAGTTTTTACATGAATGACACGGGAGCCACTAGAGCCTTTTAAGTGAATTAATGGCACAATTTGACCTACCTTAGCAGGATGGCTGACCACTATAGGGAGACTAGTCTGTGTGTGGCAGGGAGGGGTGGCGCTAGTGCTGCAGTTCAAGAGTGAGAGGGTGGTGGAGACAAAGGGGAGAAGAGGGCCTGAGGGAGGAGAGAGACAGAGAGAAAGGCTGGTGAAGCAGGATGCTAGGAAAGAAG